CTTTCTACTCTGATCTGTGCTGACCTTCTTTTGATCTTAGACTGCTACTCTTAGGGTTGCAGATTTCACCTCCTTCCTTCTAACACCTCTCTCTTGTTCCTCTGAGAAGAAAACACCTTGCTTTTGTTCTCTAAAAATGAAAGGGATGACCATGGCTCCTGAATCCTGACATCTCCAGCTTCATGGACTAGAACAAGTTCTTGTATCACCTTTATTGTTCCAAAGCGTACTTCTCCAATACCACAAGCTTTCTTGGTTTTTTTTTTTGAGAAAGAATGTCTATATGATTCCGTTACAAAGAATTAAGTGTGCTCAGGTAATTCTTCCAAGGTTACAAAGAAACTCATGAGGGTGTTGCAGATTCATTTTCAACCTGTCCTATGCTTCAGTTTGTCTTTAGTGTGGTTGCTGACCTTGAGCCAAACATCCTGGAGAGTGAAGTGGGCCTTCATTCTCCAGGATGTGGGCCTTAGAAAGCATGGCTAACAACAAGGCCAGTGGAGGTGATGGCATTCCAGCTGCACTATTTAAAATCTTAAAAGATGACGCCGTTAAAGTGCTACACTCAATATGACAGCAAGTTTGGAAAACTCAACAGTGGCCAGAGGATTGGAAAAGATCAGTCTACATCCCAATCCCAAAGAAGGGCAGTGCCAAAGAATGCCCCAACTACCGTACAATTGCACTCATTTCACACGCTAGCAAGGTTATGCTCAAAATCCTCCATGGTAGGCTTCAGCAGTATGTGGACCGAGAACTCCCAGAAGTACAAGCTGGATTCCGAAGAGGCAGAGGAACTCGAGACCAAATTGCTAACAAGTGCTGGATTATGGAGAAAGCCAGAGAGTTCCAGAAAAGCATATACTTCTGCTTCATTGACTACACTGCTGTTAAGGTGCTACATTGAATATGCCAGCAAGTTCCCAAACCGGAATTAAGATTGCCAGAAGAAATATCAACAACCTCTGATATGCAGATGATACCACTCTGATGGCAGAAAGTGAGGAGGAATGAAAGAACCTCTTAATGAGGGTGAAAGAGGAGAGTGCAAAAAACGGTCTGAAACTCAACTTCAAAAAAACTAAGATCATGGCCACTGGTCCCATCACCTCCTGGGAAATAGAAGGGGAAGATATGGAGGCAGTG